CCAACAGCAATGCCAGTTTCCTGAGATAAAGGCATCGTTCTTGCCCAGCTCTCCAACACACGTTCTTGAGGGACAAGAGTATAGGAGTTTAACTTTTACAAACTGTTAATGTTAGTGATAAAATATTTATTTATAGTAGACTACTAATGTACTAGGATAGTCTCACCATGCTAGAAGACAAATATTACTCTTTGAAGACTTTCTACTTCAACAACCCATCCATCTTCAAGAGAGGAAACCACAAGGTCAGTGACACAACTTGCAGTGGTTTTGACTATTACAGCAAAGCGGTTTCCTCCACCCACCTGAGCCTGGATTATGAGACATGGCTAGCTAAAACAATATTAAAAGTGGTAAACAATTTTCACAGCTTTTAAGAAAATGGTTGATCAAGTTGAGCCAATAGCTGTAAGAAGACTAATTCTAGCTTGGAGTTACAGTCCTAGTGGAATTCTGATGCCAGAATCTGAGAGGGGACACTTCGAACAGGTATGCCTGATCATGGAATGAAAACAAGTAGTGTGACGCCATGGCATATTTTGCAAAGGCTATGTTAATAGCAAGTTTCTATCTTCAAATGACATTTTAATCCACTCCCCACAACTTATCTGATTTTAATTTGTTTTTTAAAAAATATGGTTAAATAGAGAATAAGGGAGATCACTGAGGTGCATGGAATGACTAAACATGAGTCCCTTGTGTTTACATAAAGTAAAACATCACAAGAATTTGCAAAAAAATATAAAAATTACTAAGTACAAAATACAGTTTGTCAGTCTCAACTTGTTTGCTTGTGCCTCTGAAGTGCCAGTCCAATCTCCTTCAACTATACGCTACTCTTACTTTTCACTACTTCATACCTGTATTAGTAGCACACACATTGGAATTCAACTAAACTAAATAGAACTAGAAAAGTTTTAAAATAAAATGAGTCCTAATGCTCACTTTCCAAAATTAGAGCTGTAGCACAATTTTTAAAAATTCAACAATATGAATCTAGAAAAGCATAAAAAAGCCCTAAAAGGGCACCAGTGATGTAAAGGATTTTCTTTTTCAAAGTGTTTAACTGTTTGGATATTGTTTATTCTAAACTGACATCTTACTTAAATATCCTATTCAGCAACTATGAAAGCAACTTCATCCCACATTTCATTTCCACTAAAATTCACTGGTTCTGTGTCAAACTCTTCCTAACAACAGCACTTCGTGCTTCTTAAACATTGGGGAAAAGGGATCCAAAATGGCATTTCATACAGAATATATTACATGCTGGCTTAATCATGTATAAATCAAATCTGCCAACTAAAACTGTTAAAACAGTCATAAAAGGTTGGTAAGAATAAAACTGAGATGTATACCTAATCAATTTATCTCTTCATTCAATACTTGTGAAATCATTCCAGTCACTTGGAGTATGGTAGAAATATTTCTTTATCAGTCTTAAGTCTTGTGAATCTAGTAAGAATGTTTCTACAATGTAACACTGTATCACTATACCAGATGCATCCTCAAAAACAGTAGTTTAATCTTAAATCATGCAATCCCAGGCATACTTTGAGGAAATGAGAAAGTAAGCGAAAGTGGAACTGTTTCTGGCAAGCTTAACCTGTTCAGGTGGCATTAGGATAAGTATCTTTGAAGATAAGGTTTCTGAAATGAAACTTAGAGAAAGATTTTCCTTTTAGAGAAAAAAACAAGGGAGCTTCTAATCTTTGGTAAGGATTTTAAATTTTGGTTTAAGAAGTAAAATTGGAAATGCTTTAAAAAATAACCTCAAAAGATTCAAATAGAGCTTTTAACGTGAAACCATAAAAGTAGTATTAATAATTTAAAGCTATATGACATTTAAATAAATCTTTATTTTGCAATTAGACTAATGCCATTTAATTTTATATACCTACAGGTGAATTCACACTGTGTTTGTTACCTTACAACACATAAATGTACACCAGTGATAATACAGTGTGTATGTTAATACACAAACCACCAAGACATGCCATCTGGAGAGCTAATGAACAATCAAGGGATCCCAAATTAAACTACAGAATTTTCCCTTAGAATCTTTAGGACAACACTGTCAAGTTCAATCTATTCACTTAGCCTCCAGAATCAATTTTTCAAACTTTATGACAGGTCTAATAGTTTCCACCTGTTTCTTTTGCTTGACTTTTGACTGGCACGTTACCAGCCAGGGTGGAAATGCAGACAAAGACCCCTATTAGGCTCCGGCTGTTTCTCTACTGTGAGGTTGCTCAGCCATTAAATTAGTTCCAGCCCACTTTCTCCTTCCATGTCTTAATTTTCGGGGGGTATGAAGTTTGGGGAAGTGGAAAGGAAGAGAGACAAAATTTGACATCCAGTTGGTGGGAAAGGTATAAGAAAATCTGAAGTAATGAAAGTTAAATGCTAAATTTATTTATAATATTATAAACAGTTTACTAACTAAATTTACTAATCACACTAATTAAGTTCCTGAGGTGTCTGTATCATATTTTCAATCATCACAACCTTGGTAGAATTTGAGAGACCCTGAGAGAGTCTATCATGTAACAAGTGCTTATTATAACACATGATTACATAAACATGTTATTGCATTTTTCTTCTCGGAATCAAGACTAATCAATAGGTACCTATTTTTTGTCCGAGAAAAGAAAGTCTTTTTACCAGAGATACAGTCTCCTTTCACTCAGAGTTGTGAATTAGAAAAAAGTCTCATACACGTAATCTAACAAATTCATATTGGTTCATTTGGAAGTATCTCAAAAACCTGACAGCTTCTTTCTTCAATAAAAATTACCTAATAGTATTTGCATTAGTTTGTAGTGATTTATGAAACGTTATCGTATGCGAAGTCTCTCTTTGCTGAATTGCAAGTCACACAGACTACGATTTTATTGTCCATGACAACAAAGTATTTACAATAATGTCAACCATAATACTTATGACAAATATTTTAACTTATTAAAACAAAGGTCATTCTGTAAAATAGATTTAATTGTTCAAATTATAATCTGACTAGGATCCTCTTCCCAGTATAAACTACTTAGAGCCATTTTACATGAAAACTGACTACTCAAACTGCATCATGATGGGAAAAATCTCGAAGACCTACATCTGTAAACACTTCATTACATTTGGACTATCTCAATGTAAAAAAGCAACCTGCATGCAGACCACTCTGCTGGTACAGCACTTCAAAGATAAGAGAGTAAAGGTTCCACAATCATTGAAAAACCAAGACCACTTCTCTTAGCTCCCTTGCCTTTCTTGATAATATAATACATAAGTTGGCCAGACATGATTCTATTTAGCCTGTGACATCTAAATAAATTCATAAAACTCTGAATTATATACTTCATCCTACTGAGATGTATGAATAATGTTACTGAGAACCACCACCAAAAACAACCATCCGAGAAGAAAGGTCTTGACCTATTAAATTATCACTTTGTTGGTTTCTTCAAAGTACTTCTGCTTTCAGTCCAGTGGGCTGAACATGCTGTGAATATTTACAATTAAGAAGCAAATGCTACAGATGCTTCTATAAAATAACTCTTTTCTTTGTGGCCTCTCATTCAACAAGCATGTTTCTCTGTGTCCAAAAGCTATTGCAAAACCAGTTGAAGGAGGAGGATGTAGATTTGGGGGAAGGGAAGTGGCAAAATTAGACAGCAACATTTTTAAAATGTGTGTGTATGTAAGTACATATGAACTCACAGAGAACAGTTTGCAATTAAAAGAATTCTTCTTTTTAATTCCAACCGTCTCTAAATTGCAATATTTTAGCACAAATTAAAATTGATGAATTCTTTCCTAGTGTCAACTGTAAGACTACGAACTGATTTATTTTAATACTGTTATAACGCATCCTCATTCATAGATTTTGTGTGTATATGTTCTAAAACAAATCACCTCTATTACTTGCAAGAAGGCATATTCTCTGACTTTCATCAGTCTCACAATTTAGGCTCTCTAGCTGAGAACTAAACCTGTTATTGCTGGTTAACTAATCAGTTACACTAACATTCAAGATGATTTAACTGATGATGTTGATTTAAAAAAAATCCAAAACAAATTTCCCAAGGTTATTTTCAACAGTAAAATTCATCTGCAATTTTTGGAGATAAATTAACACTGATACTCAAAAGTAGCTGCCAAGAAAAGTTACAGCTGCAGGTAAAAACACACATAGAATAACCTGTCCTGAAGAGCAACAACTTCCATAAGACTATTTCATGAAACATAACAGTATAGTCTTTGTACATAGATTCCAACCCAAGATTTAGTAGCTGTGATTTTCATACCACTTAATCCCATTCAAAACTCTAATGAACTACCTTCTCAAAAGTATCCCACAACTCGTTCACACAAGGGTCATCTATGTGATGATGAAAGAATACATAGCATAACCCTAATCAATGTTTAAAAAAATCCAAACAAACCGCTAAAGAGCATTTTAGTGAAATATTCAGTAAAAGGAATAAGAGAAAACAGAAACATTAAAATTAAAGCCATAATCTACTTTATATTACTTTTGTCAAATAACTAGCTTAGAAAATAACTTAGACTAGAAAATGCATAGAAACTCCTAAATATATATATTTAATACCTTAAACTTTCCTACAGTGATGTTCATGCTTTGCTAGAGGAATAAAGATTAAACTACAGTACCAAGAAAAAGTTGTCACACTCCGATTTTCCCACCCTTTATGGCTTAGTATTATCAATCAATACTCTGTGAACACAAAGATAAGAAAAGATATTTTGTGTCCTATCTAGAAGATAATCAGCTTTGGTTGGCTGGTTGGTTTAGGGTTTGGGGGTTTTTTTGGTGGGTTTTTGGTTTGGTTTGGTTTTTTGTTTGTTCCTTTGCCTAGCTTTCAGACAGCAAATAGGGGAAAAAAAAAAAAAAAAAAAAAAAGAGAAAAAACTTTCATTCTGTTACTATAATTGTGAATTCCAGATCAAAAAGCTTATTCAGGATGCTCTAGATCACTTTCTTACCCATCTAGAAGATTCTGTGTTGTCGTGGTAACTTCACTAAAAAGAAGAATCTTTCCAAGCTTCTTTGTTTGAAGATTCTGTTGATATGTCTTCAGGTTGAAATGTTCAGATGAGAAGCTTCCTGTCTCAGTGATGACTGGCATGAGAGATGGTGTTATCTCCATTTTTGATTCACAGGATGAAACAAATTTAAGAGACACCTTGCTGGATGCTCTTAATCCTTCAGCGTCTACATTTCCCTCGAGCCATTTCAGAAAAGCAAGACGGATTTCCTGTGGGCAAGGGAAAAAAAAATAAGGCATAGAAATAAAGACCAGCACATGTGAAGACATACAAACATTCTTCCAGGAACATTTTTATTCAAGCCATAACCTTCTGCTTCAAAATAGGAAAATTAATTCCACTTCCTCTTCGAAGATCAACTTTTTCTGCTTGTTTTAGTCCAGCCTGGCCCGACTACTTCATACTATCTTCCTAGACTTGAGACTGTGCTCCTTTGCAGATTACTTAGGCATAACCTTTCCCTATAACAGGTTTTGTAGTGGTTCTCCTAGATACTGGAGCATGGAGGTCACACGTTTGCATTATGCAGGTTTTTCAAAATACTAAGTTTCTTTGCTGGGAATCCTTTAGTCCCTCGCTAAGACTCAATTTGAAGGATAAAGCAGCAGCTAAGAAAAACTTTTACTTATTTCTCAGCAGAATACCTGCTAAAAGGGCTCATACCTTCAGCTAATGGAGTGTCCCTACTATTATCTTTAAATATAGAGAAAAAGTAGCTGTTAATTAGCTAGCTAAAAGAAGCACGTAACTCAAGAATGCACACAACTACGAAAATTCTACCACTTATAAAATGCAGTTGTATGTATGCTCTGTTATCCTGTCAATGACATAGCTAACACACATTTCTGTGCAAAAGATTTTAAATGTGAAATATAAATGAACATATAATTTTATACAACTAGATACCAAAACTTTGATTTTTCTCTCCTTTATTTTAGGTTTTTTTGAAATACACTTTTGTGAATGTGAAATGAAGAGACAAATTACTGGAATTGTTACCTGTCTGGTGACACCCTGAAACAACGCTACACATTCATAGGACTCTTTCTGGAGATACCTAACTCTGTTTTGAGAATTCTGATGTGAAATGTTTGCCATGTCTTTAGAAACCATAAGTTAACAGCTCACAAACACAGATGCTGGCACTTCTTTTTGCTAAGTGTGTAGCTTGAATTTCTAAGAGCTGTCCTAGAGTCAAAGTGGTCTTTTATATGATACATGAAACCACAAAAATTATGGTTTCTATTCTACTGAAAAAAAAAGTACAAGTGATTCTTGCCCTCAAATTCTAAAAGGAAGACATTTGACTTTTAAATAAAAAACTTCTAACCAAACACATGCTCCTCCTTCCCATTATTGCTGTATCAGGGAACCAGAATACGAGTGTTTCCTGAGTGCTGAAGACAGGACTAAGCTCTCTTGCCCTTGCCTTGAACACGATGTCTCTGAGCTCCAGCCCAACTCTTTAAAACCCACAAATCACAATTAAGAGCAAGCTTCCTATAAATCGTTATCTATCCAAGGAATTACTCCTATTTTCCAAATCCCATTGTTATACCTTAAGAAGGAGTGAGAAAAGTGGTCCTGTTGCTAACACCTTTCTATAGATTTTCCATCCTCAGAAACTACACATTCTCAAGTTTCACACAGACACTGCTTCTTGTGTAATGTTCTTTGTATGCTGAATGTCAGCAGACTTACCGGTTTGTATCCCTATAGTATGAATAGTAGAGCATAACAAAAAGAAAGGAATAGTCTCTTTCCAAATGCAATCAGGCACTAGCTTTTAAGCCCCAAGATGATCTAAGAGTGACTGTAGGTAAATTTTAGTTACAGAGAAATTATTTCTCATTTTTTGGGTTTTTTTTAAAGCTCCATCTGAACTCTTTCCATCTAACTTCTTGTATAAAATATACTTCAAATATTTTCTTCCTTTTTCTTGGTTTTTTTGCATGAGCATTGTAAATAATGATGTGGCATTAAAGGTTTTATGAGCATTTTGTTGACTTGGCCTGCATGAAGCACTTGTATCTTCACTTAGTGTAATATCACAGCTTTGACAGACTGCTGCTAAATTTGTTACACACTATCCTTCTTGTTCTACACACACAACAGTAATTTATTAGCTGTAATTGATATTTTTAAAACTTACAGCTTTCATTCTTGACAGGGAGTATATGGAAAAACTGTGCTTAATTAAAAAGTGCATTTTCTTATTGCTTCCCAAACATAGAAATTCACTTAGCATAACTGAGCATGCAAGTTGTAGACACAAAAACATAATTTTAACTGACATAAGGACAGGTTTACAGACTTAAAGAGACAGACATAAAGTTAAAAAATAAAGGTGCTTAAAGTATTAATACATTCTAAACAAACAATGAAAATACTTGATACTATGTGTCAGAAAGTCTGCTGTACTTTTGCCACAGTATACCTTCTGAAAAGCCTGAAATAGCATATATTTATGTGATGTTACATTATTACAAATATGCCACACAATTCCTACCATTTATCCTCTTTGAGTAAACTCTTTTAGGTGGGTTTTTACCCCCATAGTTTTTAGGTTTACCTCTTCATTTAATTTTCTTGTTCCTAACACATACTGAACCACTTAAGAATTGTTACATGTGTATTGTTACATGAAGCTAATTTTTTCCATAATATACACATTTATTGAGCTGATCAAAATATAAACGAGTAATACATAATCAAGAACAGCATTCGATTTTTAAAAATTCCTAAAAAATATGGTTTTATATTTTTAACAAAGCTAAGTTACAAGGGCTGTCCAAGCACATACTAGAAAAAATAACTGTCACCCTTAAGAACCTCCTTCACACAAAGTTACAGAAACACGGATGCTGAACCAATGCATTTTGATCCCCACAATTATACTGGCACACAGAGAAGTACATTTTGGTATAATAAAACAAACTATGTAAGAAATCAGGGTTAACCTCTGCTTCAACTCCATTTAAAAGGAATATGATCACATCAGAACCTGAACCGTGTGATTTGTTGCAAAGTTCAGGATTCAGTTTTGAACACAAAACCTATCCCCAGCTGCGTCTGCCGTTCTGCAGCAACCTCTGGTGGCCGTTCAAATGAAAAGGGTTGGTTCAGGAACCGTCTGGCCCTCCACATTTCTGGGACCACATCAGGAGTGGCAAGCAAGGCACCTAATACAAGATAAGGGAAATAACCAAACTCCTGGCCACTGCTTACCCTGATCATTATCAAAATCTGAAAATATGCAGGTAGAAGCTTTAAATAAGTATGCAACCAAAGAAGCTACAGCAGTTACATATTCACACATCGATAACGATATCAGCAGCTGCTTACACATATAATCATACCAAAATCTGTATTACACATATTATCAGTAACATACTTTCTAAATATTCTCCACTGATCAGCACAAAGGTTTATTAGGGGTTACTGTATCAGAGGTTGGAGGTCTGACATTGCAAATTGCTGAACTAAAGCTTAAACGGTAATTGTAACATAAAGAAGGAAGAGTAAAAGCTGTAATTTTTTTTATGACTTAACATCTGCTTTCTATGATTTTAAGAGTTTTGTCAGGTGTGTGAAGGAACTGCTATATAACGGAAGTTTTCTTTCGCTGTTTAAAATTCTTTTTATTTTCATAATCATTAGTTTCACTTTTTCCTAATGCTTACTTAGCGGTTGAGATTGAACAAAAAGAAGAATAGAGGGAGACATAAGAGACAAAAAACAGCTGCATATGGACCCTTCTCTGTTGTAGTATAAAATAACAGAAAATTACAGCTCCTGATGGAGAAGATTTTATTTGCACCTGGGCTCTATCAACCTGTGAGACTTACACACAAAGCACATAAACTTTCAGTTATAATGGTTCAAAATAAGCCCAAATCCACGACTTCATTCTTACATTCTATTTATATAGAAAGAATTTGAATGCATTTTTTTAATTTTCATATGTAGGCTCATACACAGAGATATATGCATCTATCTCATTGGGCATATCTGGGAGCTACTATTTTCTACCAAACTCTGTGACGATAGGTCTTCAGCTCTATCAATATTCAATTCTATTCTATCAATAGAATTCTTTATAATGGAAGGACTGGTCACAGCCTAAATTAATTTGGTTCCTATTAAAAACAGGGAAACAAAACTAAATGAAAGCTAAAAATATAATGCCATAAGCCAAACAAATATTATACATCAGTCACCTCTCCTTTCTTGGGAGGAAAAATGAGAATTTTAACTACTGATGTTCTACCTCATGACTCAATACTGTGACTATAACATAATACCCTGTTTTAGTTGTTGCTCGTTAAGTGAGGCCAAGTATTTACTTTCTGGATACATAGCTAGACCGTGATTTAACAATTTTTCTCCTTCCTTTGCCTAAAATTTAATGATTTCCAACTAAATACCTCAACTACACACCTCTGGTTTTGCTTCACTGTACTTTAAAAAAGTATGCAGTTGATGCACATTCATATATTATCAGTTGAGGTACTGATCAAATCACATACATATGTATGCTTATAAATTGCAAAAAAGTGAAGATTACACAGGTGTACTGTAGCAGCCTTATACAGAAGCACATGAACAGCCCATCTGGAGCATAACCAAAGACATTTATAGACATCACACCTTCAATATGGCTAACCTGCCTTTTTTCTTTTTCTTTTTTTTTTTTCCTGAATTGGCTGTTTTCAAATGAGTGTTACTCATTTTAAGTGTGATCTCAAATGTATATATTTCCTATGAATTCTAGAATAGCGCTGATAGAGTGTATTACATTTTAATAAAGAGTGTATAACATTTGGAATCTGATTTCAACTATGGAATATAAAAACACATTCATGTATATACATATATACAAAAAATACATCCTCCTTGTATTACACAGCTTTGCTCAACAGCCCTACAAGTTTCAAGGTGTGAAATTAGCCACTGGAGAGCTTCCATAGCATCTCTTGAATCCAACAGAAACAAACTGAAGTCCAGCATGGTAGTAAGCAGTAGGCTGGTGCCAGTAAAAAACACATCCACAGTGGCAACTCCAGCCCCAAATGCCAGTGACTTAGGAGGCCAGCAACAGGAAAAGTCAGCTATTAGCACAAGAAGGCAAGGTTTTGGCAGACATTTCTGACTAATGAGGCACACAAAATGCTTTTCTGATGCTGCCTGTGTTTTTACTTCCTGTAAT